TTTAGCTATAGCAAAGTTCTCCAAAAAAGAAAAACTAATTTCAAATAATAAAAAAATTAGATAACTTCTCTTATTCGTGTCTATGTGACAAAAGAAAAGATACTGCGGCTGCTGCGGCTATTTCGTAGATCATCACCCGAACTTCGGGGGGTGCTCCTGGCTGATTCGCAAAACTCACACATGACGAATCCTGGAAGGAGCCGGATGAGGTCCTTAATAGGGTTACAACAGGAATTCTCGATCTATTGTGAGTTTTATGTCCCCTCGATTTCAGAAACGAAGTGAGTTTTATGTCCCCTCGATTTCAGAAACGAAGTTTGGAAGAACCCAGCTTTTGGACCCGAACTGGCTGGTACACAAAATGAAGGGACTTACGTAACAGATATAATAGTTCCTTCTATTCGAGCTACATTGAGGAGGCTTCCAATCGGAAAGACCGGCTTTATTAGCACGTAAGTTATAAGAATATCAAACTTGCTTGAGAATATACAGTATTCACATATTTTTTTTTTTCAGCGCCGAACGGCAAAGCGTTGCCAGTGCGGATAGAAAAGGGAAGTCAGGAACGGGAAAACGGCCGGACATCATGTTTATCATTAATTATAAGGAAAGAATACATGAATTGACATTTGCCGAATGTTCACGTCTGGTTTGCACCGAAGACAAAGAAAAAACAGATCAAGTAAAATTGTGGCGAGAAATGAATGATGGGCTATTCTGGTCCCGCAAAGCGTGCAAGCCAGACAAAGGTGAATTTGGCATTATCGGTGTTCAAGTAGCTGGTAGCCAGATCCATCTGAATGTTATAATTAGAGACGATGATGATGTGCACCGTCTCTACCGGTTACGCTCAGCTGAAATACCGGTTCAAAAAGTTGACGGTGAAATTGTTTTTAATTTTGTAGAATTATTGTTGAATTTAAGAGTATTAATTTATTCAATATTTGCATTCTATTTTTTTATTCTAAGCTTTGATACTTACTTTTTGTAATTGAATAATAGAACATTCTGATCGTCAACTTATCCTTACTATTCCATGCGCAAGAGACTGGATCGCATGAGAGTAGTGAAAGTAGTTCTACATTGCGTTCTCCACGTAGAGAAAAACAAGAACGAACAAAAACTAGAAAGGTAAGTGAAAGAAGTCCTTCACGGAAAAGAGGGAGATTAAATAAGAAAAAAAGCAGAGATTTGAAGAAAGGTTGATTTTATTTCTGCAGTTATTTTTATATAATGAAGTTGACCATGGTGGTAAATCTTACATAAATAATCAGTTTACTTTTGCGTGTATATTTCGTGAATTTATTTTATTGTATTATTGATATACATTACCCGCATATGATCGAGAATTTTAAAAATCTTTCTTGGCAAAAGTGACCGTAAGAGCATAGATTAATATAACTCGATGGTCTCCACTAAGTAATAATCGCAAATTACACTATAAAAAATCGCGTAAAAATAAAAAATGACGAGCCCAGCGGACCCTCTCTTTATTTCATAAAAATTGTTGCCGGAATGACAATATACAATGAAAAAAAAATATTTTTTTATTATATAATAAAAACACAAATGACAAAATAAAATATATATTGTTATTTTTCCATATCAGTATAACCTGCATCATCACTACCACCGACATTTTCTGAAACAGGAACGAATTCGAATTCTATAGTATATTGTAACTGTACCGTTTTCCGAAGTGGAACTTGATTATTCTAATTTCATCCAGTCTTGTTATAACACCATTAATATCAAAATATTGACCCGCTTGTTTATATATTTTACTATAATTACACAACATAGGAGAAATGAGATATAAAAATGTAATACAAAAAAACAAATAATCAGAAAACTGAGTAATTTACAATTCTTTCATCTGTTTGCTTCTACTAATTTTATACAACCATGATATTTTCTGTTTTCATCACGATGGTGTATTGTTATTTCATTCGACTGAAGTCCTAAAATATCTGTAAAAAATTTTATCGGGCAGCTTACTATGATTTATCTGCCCAATAATTTTAAATAGTTTAAACTATTGTTTCTGCCCAATAATAAATCATTGAGCAGAAAATTATAGTAAGCTGCCCGATAAATCCGTTATCAGGCATGCTGATACTGCCTTATAACTTAATTATTTGGTCAAGGATTTTAAGATCAGTCTAAAAAATTGAATTCCTTCAGAATCCAATTTCTTAGTCTGATCTTAAATCCTCGACCAAATAAACCAGTTATCAGGCAGTGCCTGCCTGATAACTATTTAATATTGATTAATTGTATTTTTATTTACAAAACCAATAAAAGAATTTACCATATTTGACTGAAACATATCCATCCTTTATAGACTTAGCATTGGAGGTGATGGTATCGTTAGCACTGCTCATTTTTCGTTCCTAAATACAAAAAATAATATTAAGTAAAAAATCGTTTTCAGACTGTATTAAATGGCAAATACATTACTTTAAAAAAAAAATTCGGCAAGTGAATCAAGTAAAAAATATATGTGAGCAAAAAATAACGTTATTGCTAACTTATCTTAAGGTGAAAACTTGCTTCTTTTTATACCATCCATTCGTTAGATCTAACAACCTACCAGAAAAAAAGTTACACGATTAGTAATTACGTTACCCTAACACAATCTAGATCCCACCATGTAAAGCAAGTCTATTCGGTCATAAGTCCCAAATGCTGAATCTATTTTGCCAATCGCTCAGAGTAGGCTAGATCTCGGAGATGGCGGAGATTCGAAGTCCTTGTAACATATGAATTCGGTAAAACTACTGATTAAGAACGTTGTACTCTTCCCTCTTATAGCCCTTTTAAGCCCCCAAAAATATTCAACTTTTATCTTTTTATTCCTCCTTATTCTATCAAAAAATGATTTCAAATTATTATTAACTTGATCAGATTTTATTTTTCCTTACTAATCAATATCAAACTATTAATTACCAAAAATTTTTTTTAAGATCTAAAACTTAAACTAATTTATTTATGAATTTTCTTTCACATTAACCAAATCTAAGATACAAATTTAAATACACCTATATTACAAATTCACAATACACCTAAATTTCATATTAATATTTCTATTAATATACCTGTACAAAAATTTTTAACAACTTACTGCATTTCTTCTTTTTCTCTATTTTTAATTGAATTTAATAAGTGGTTTCAAAAATTTTTTGAATATTACAAAAAACAATTTAATACTATTAATGAACAAAAAGTTTACAACTATATTAAATTCCAAATAGTAACAACAATAAACAACGAATACAGAAAACTTGTCTCTAAAGAAATATATTTCTTCATCATTTCATCTATTCAAAATCGTACAAATTAGAGATCTGCAACTCAGACACCCAACAAAAGGTCTGGGCATAGGTATAGGCATGAAACCTCAGGCATAGGTATGGGCACAGACATAAAAGCTTAGGCATAGGTATGAACATAGGCATAAAAATTGGCATAGACATAGGCATGGTACAAAAAACTTGGCATGGGCATGGGCATATACATAGAAATTTAGTATTTATTATTTAATTATGCTTAGTACTTTGTCTGGCACCTGTGCCCAGCACTTTGTGTCTAGTATTTTGTGCCCATGCCTTTGTTAGTATCTGGTACTTTGTGCTTATACCTTTAATAGTGCCTAGCATTTTGTGCCCATGCCTACAATAGTATCTGGCATTTTATACTTATAGGCGTAGACATGGTATGAGGCATCTAGTGCCTAGCATAATACCTATATGCCCAGTATAGAAATTTGCAAACCCTAGTATAAATACTGCTATTAAAACTGCATTATACCATATATATATATGTATAGACTAGAGTTTAGAACCGGTTTTATTTTTCATATATTAAAACCAGGTTTAACCAGTTTTAATATAAGTAAAATAAAACTAGTTCTAAATTCTAGTATAGACTCTACCAAATATATAATCTTTTTACCAAACACTACACACAATTTTCACAATTTAACTACTTACTTTTTTAAACTTTCTTTTTAAACCTTACCTGCTTCTAAATATATTTACCCAACTATTAATAATTCTATCTTTTCATCTAATCAACTTCATACTGCTACCTTTCTTACTACTTTTCTTTTTAAAGATCTTTATAAACTTGTCAACCAAGCAGAACAAAAATTTGTTAAATTTAACCAAAAATTTATTAAATCCAATAAGTCAAAACTTTCTGAATCAGATTCTAAAACTCAAAGCTCTAAACAGATTTTTTTCTTTTTCTATAGTTATTTTAAAGTATACCTAAAAATGGTTACAACCAATGACCAAATTACTGATCTTAATCTTAAGGAAGCACTCAACAAATTATCTTTAACAATTATGAATCTACAAATCTTAGCTAGAATTATTGCTTACTATAATATTATCCAAATTTTTAAACCAACTATTGTAAATTTTAAAAGAAACCTCAAGAAATTATATCTTGACCAAGCAAATCAATATATTGTTATAGAACAGTTTATTATTTTATTAGTTTATTATTTCAATATTGTATTTTATTATTTATTATATTATTATTATTATTTAGTTATTATTATTAGAATAGAATTTAACAGACATGTAATATGCTTAATACTTAACAATTAGCGATTATACTTAGCGATTAACGATTA